CTGCGATCTCAGGCACCTCTTCCTCTCCCCCAACAATCTCCCACAACCAACCACGCGCTGCACACTCTCCATTCCCAGCCACTACCACCCTTATCACTAAACCAAAAGTAAAGCCCTGCCACAAAATGGCCTCCTCGTCAACCCCAGCAACTCCGTTGCTCTAGTACGTCTCCCGCCCCCTATGCCCTACCCACCATCCAGGTACTAACCCTCCTCCCACTCGGGGGTTTCCAGTGCCTGTATAGCCCACAACAATACCATTCTCACTGAACACACCACCTCTGCCTCCAGCCAAACGTCCTCCCTCGCATCACTCATCCTCCCCAAGATCTCCCACTCCACCCCCCAAAAACTCACCTACACCCACGGCAGCTACCACATCCACTACATCTCCGAAGCCCCGTCAGAGCACTCAACCAACCCCTCCGCCGGCGGGTTGACCTTCCTTGTCATCGCCGACTCCACCCTAGGCCGCCGCATCTCCTTCGGCTTCCTCGTCGAAGTGCGTAACCGCTTCCTCGCCAAGTACCCCGAAGCCACCACCGAGTTTGGCGATCTGCAAGACTACGGTGCGGCGGGTTTCAACACAGAGCTACGCACGTTGATGGTAGAGTATGGGACTACGGGGCACGGAAGGGACGATGCGATTACGAATGCGCAGAGGGAGATTGATGATGTGCGGGGGATCATGACGCGGAACATCGAGGGGTTGTTGGAAAGGGGAGAGAGGATTGATTTGTTGGTGGATAAGACGGATAGATTGGGGGGCAGCGCGAGGGAGTTTCGGGTGAGGAGCAGGGGTCTTAAGAGGAGGATGTGGTGGAAGAATGTGAAGTTGATGGCGCTGTTGGGGTTGGTGATGGTGCTGATTTTGGTGACGATTGTGATTTCGGTCAAGAATAGTATGAATTAGGGGGGTGGTTTCTGTTGTTTGGATGGCGTTTTTGGCTTGGCGGGCGTTGAGGTTCAATTACCTTAGAGAACGTTGTGGCTATGCAACGGCTGTATCAGTGCTACGGTTGTACGTGTTTGAAAGACACGGGGAAAAGGAAGACGATGGAGAGGGACAGATAAAACGACTCGGCAGTGGTTGGTTTCTTTTGTTCGAAGCTACATGTTTCTTCTCTCTGCATTATTACCGATACCCAGATTTTGGGTTCCTTTCAGAATCCTCCCTTTACCGCCTCTTCCTGTAACATCCTTCTTTATTTGAGTGAGATCAGGTTTACGCGCTCCGCTCGACCACTGACTTGGTTTGACGACCATTTCCATCGTCCCAAGAGCCTGCTCCCGGCTAATCCTCTCAAGTCCGCCTAATACCAGTTTTCTCATAACCTTGGTATAGCTGTCCCATTTGCCCCTATTTTGCTTCGCGAGGCATCTTGGTAGGCATAGCCATGGACAATCGGGCTAGCCTGTGGAGCTAGCGGCGCGGCGAACGCAAGAGGCTGTCGCCGCAATTTTTGCGTGAAGAAGACTGGGTGGCAGTGTGATACGCTCCAGGTGGGCTGGGATGTCACTTGTGTTGGTGGCGGCACGAGCAGCGGTGGTGGTTGGAGGGCCGCCATGAGCAGGGGTGAGGTTGAGGTGAGAGGAAGGTGAAAACGGCGAATGGAGAGCCGAGGTATGAAATCTGTGGTCGGAATCCAATGAATCTTATAGACTGTTGGCGGAAATCTTCATTGGCAAGGTCGGCCGTTGTGGGCGCCGATACAATGTGGAATGAGTGAGCCGATACTCAAGCGAGGTTGATGGATGGTACGTAGGGAGTGGGTGTCGTCATTTGTCGGCTCCGACTTCACGTGAAGTACCGAGAGCGGCCCCACTCTCAGCACCTCGCTGGTCATACCCCTGCCAAGTCCACGTTGAGATCGAAACCACCGCCTCCCGTCGCATAAGATCTTCAAATGAAATAAAAAATCCATGGAAATCCCTTCAACTAGATGATGGGGTACCCTTTCCACTCTTCTTTGATTTCTTCCCACTCTTTCCCTTTTGCCCCTCCTTTTGCTCCTTGTTCTTGGCAAGAGTCTTGATGAGAGCCTCAATCTCAGCCGCCGTCGCTGCCTTCTCATCTTCTTCTTTCGCCTTTGCTTTCTCCTTCTCTTCCTTTTGCTTTTCCTTAGCTCTCCTCAGGGCTGCCTGTTTCTCGGCTGTCTCAATCAACTTGTCGCTTGCCTCCCAGAGCTTCTTGGCGACCTCTTCATCCCTCACGTCCTTTCTCGCTGGGTCGACTTCCATGCACTCCTTAATCAGCTTCCCTCCTGTTTCGCGGACAAGGCTACCCTCGAATACGGCCCACAGGATAGACTGAGCGCCCATGAACGGGCTCTTGAGGAACAGCCAGGCCACGAGCCACAGCATCATGTAGATGAGAAGACCGAAGAGCGATCCGCGGGTGAGCCACCGCCTCATACCGGGTGTTCTTGTGTACCCAGGATCCACCATAAAAACGCGAGCATTCATGGGCAGCTGATCGGGCCTTTTGTAGCTGTCCAAATGCTTTTGGTAGGCCTGGCCGAACACCATCAGCGCCAGTTTGCTCCGGGCATAAGCAGCACGCGCCGTCCAGTCTTTCTCGGTCAAGGGGACGTCCAGTGGTGGCGACGAGATGTAAGTTGAGCAGGTAGGCAGGATGATACGGACGTCGCGGTCAAAAGGTTGAGCACGAATTGCTGGACTCAATATTCCCAGTAGGTGAAAGTTTGCTAGGAAATTGACCATCCAAGTGGTCTCAATGCCTTCCGGGCCCTCGGTCCTCTTGCCGCCAGGCGGTGTCATGGTTGCAGCGCACAGTATGATCATGTCCAGACGACGGGGTGGTGAGTTATCGACCCATTTCGTTGCGAATTGGCGGACGCTATGCAGATCGTTTAGGTCCATTTGCTCGGCATAAATGAGACGGTTCCCGGTCTGGGTCCGCAGGTCGTCGATGTAGTCAACCAGGAAGGGATCCGAGGGAGGTTGGCGCGTGAGCAGGATGACCTGGGCGCCGCGTTTGGCGAGTTGATAGGCCGTGATGGCGCCAATTCCGGATGTCCCGCCCGTCATCAACACTACACGGCCGTGCATATCCCGTTCGGCAGTGCAGAGGGCGCCCTCCATGTAGCGTTTGGTGAAGGCGAGGGCGGCGATGGTGCTGCCGGCGCGGATGAAGTGCCGTGGGTCCGGCAGCTTTTCCGGCCATCCTTCCTGGAAGACGTGAAGAATGAAGGGAATCGGCATTGTGAGTTGGTGGGTGCGAGCACTATAATATCATTCCGGGCCACGGTGTTGCGCTAAAGAGTATTGGAAGGACAATTCGATGTTGAACTTGGAGCCATCGTCGCTAGCTCCAGGCCGGTGAGCTGTTACGTAGCCCCTGTCAAAGCTTGAATTAAGTGGGGACGTCACAAATCTTGGATCAGCACGATTATCCACATAGTCTTGTCACCTAAGAGATTCAGATTCCAATCTCCTCGTGAAGTCGGCAAAAATTATAAATTCATTAGAGTCATCTTATAGAAGCCATTCTCCTTTATCATCTCACCAGGCCTAGTTGCGCTGAAGCTCCAACCTCCGCAGCAGCGTCCCTGGAGCGCCTAGCGGTTATCCTCACAGGGGCGGGACCTTCCAGCGTTACACCGCGATCCCGCCACTAACGAGAGCCGCCAACAGTCACTTGCCTGCCTGGGACCAGCTGCCTCGAACTTACCTTCAACAACCACAACCAGAATATGGAGTCGTCATCTCGGCCTCCTGAGCCCGTCGAGGACGAAGAATGTGATTACGACGTCAAAACGCCATTAGAGCGCATCCGGCCCTTCGGAACTCTTCACCGCAAACAAATTGCTTTTGTCCCAGCATCTGGCAACCCTCGGCTCGGCTCCGCCGACACCACTACCACCACCAAATCACACCAGGATGTAGCAAACATCTACTTAAGCATGGTACTACCAGAGGATGTTAAACCTCCAGACGCCAGCGTCGAAATGGAGCCTGCACCGCCTGTCGTCTGCGATGTCTGCAAACTCCCCATGACATGCCTCGCCCCCGAAGACACACCCAATTCCCAATCCCAGGATGGCACGCCAAGGACAGCTACACCCCACGAAAACTCCCTAGCTCACCAACTGTGCCTCCCTCATTCACATCCACCCTCTGCACTAGACAGGTCACGCATGGGCCTAAACTACTTGTCCACCCATGGCTGGAACCCCGATTCCAGGAAAGGTCTTGGCTTTGACCAGCAGGGTATTCAGTATCCTGTGAAGACCAAGGTCAAGGAGGACAGGTTGGGGATTGGGATGGAGGCCCCTAAGCATCAGCCCGTAAAGAAGAAGGAGACGGTGCTTGATGCTAAGAAAGTTAGGAAGATGGCTGAGGAGGAGAAACGCAAGGCTGCTAGGATACGGCAGCAGTTGTTTATGAGGGACGATTTGGAGAAGTATCTTGCATGATTTTGGTGAAGGGAAGGGATCTATAGAACGGGAGATAGTTTGGTTGACTGGAGAAGAGTGGGTGGTCCAATTATGAGACACCAGTGTGGTCTTCTTGGTCTTCTTCGCCCCGACAGTCAACTATGCCTCAGAACACCCCTTGAAGGCGCCGACGGATGGATGGAAATGAATGGAAATGATGGCACAAACGCCAAAGGTACACTGCTCCCATTTCTTTCTCAGTTTTCAGCGGCCGAGGAATCAGGTACTGACTGGAGGAAACACAGGCCGAGCCATGCCGCGCTGAGGAACTTGGACGACATGCAGTTAGAGTATTGAACGTTGGCTTGACTTCACAGACAGGCAGGTTCCCTCCTAGCACCACATTGATGTTTTTACTCCAGAGAATACGCCGTAGAGACCGTTCCTGGTTTTCCTTTGTACCAGCTCCTTGCCACCACCACCACCACCACCACCACCACTGCCACTGCCATCATCACCCGCCTGCCCCCTCCACACAACCATACCCAAAACATGGAAAGAAATTCTGCAAAAATATATACACGCCCAAGCCCTTCAGTACCCTCTCGCCGGGAATCGAACCCGGGTCTCGAGCGATGACATTCCCAACAAGGGGATTGACAAGCTCACATACTGACCACTATACTACGGAAGATAATGCAGATGTCGCCATCTGCTGTAGTTCGGTTAGAACGTGCCGGCGGATCTCGGAAACGGGGAATCGAATCCCGGGCAATTAAGGACTCAAGAATGGGAGTCAGCGACGTTAGCCACTACACCATATCCGATGTGATTTGTTGGAAAACGAGTGTGGAAATTAGCGTGAAATACTCCGTAGGGTTGTGGATTGGGAGGGCAGAGATACGTAGCCAAGGGCAGATGGAGACTGTGGGATGGGAGGTTATAGATTCGGTAAAAATAAAAATACAACAGCCATCCTCGCAACGATTTGAAGACAGGTCCAAAGAATAAAATAAAATCTCTTGTTTTTTGAGAAAATACAAAAAAAGAAAACCGACCACGGTGCGACTCGAACGCACAATCTCCAGAGCCGAAATCTGGCGCCCTAGCCATTGGGCCACGCGGCCTGTAACCAATAAATCATGTGAGTTGGGAGCAGTATTGCGCCCTATGGTTGCTTGGCGACTCAGCGCTTCGGGTTTGGACGTGCGACGTCGATGGGTAAAGCTGCAGTCTCCTCGCGATGCGAAATGTGCGAGCCCAAGTGTTTTACGGACCGCCGTGGAATGATTATTTTTTAGTTATTGAAGGCCGTGACCTACCTATTCCGTTTCTTGTGTGGGACTTGGTGCTGCAGCCAAGGCAAGAGAAAAGGGGCACCATCACATTTCCATACCTATAAATCTATCATAAGTCACCATTTAACTTTCATGAGCATCATATTTCTCATCGCATAGCCCCCTTTCCTTTCGCTTCGTTTTATCAACCTCCCCTTCACCCTTGCACACCACTTCCCTCTCCATTAGCACCATTGCCACCACTCACACTACCGGCACCCTCCTTCTTCCCATTCCCATCCACAACCGGCGCCTTCGGCATCTCTACATTGACAACCCTCCACTCCATCCCAACATACCCATCACTCACAACCAGCACATCCAACTTCCTACCCTCTCCCTCAGGCACTTTCATCCTCGCCCTCGTGACAGGCTTACTCCCAATATCCACCCCCATCTTCTTCCCATCCACAACTCTATTTCCCGACCCCCATCCAACCCTCTTGACAGCCACGACTTCATCCCCGGCAAGATCCCCAACAATGACAAACCACCCTTCTGTCTGCGGCTTGGGGAACTTCGGCGCGTACATGCGCCCTTCTCGCTCCGTGATGGGATTTGTGCGTCTCAAGACCACGCCAAGTTCGTCAATTTTGAGGGTGTCGATCTTGACATCGACATTGGGCACGGCAGAGGCCGCCTTGATGAACTTGTCTTGCGAGTATCGTGGAATGGCGAGGTCTCGGGCGAGTTTTTCAAGCTGGTGGGGGTTTCGGTACGAGGAGCTCATTTGTTGAAGAGTGGTGTCTTTGTTCTTGCCTTCCAGGGTGGTGTCGACGCCTGGAAGGATGGAAAGGGGGGACTCGGTGGGCCAGCGGGCGGACTTGATGCTTTGGAGGAGATGGATAAATTCGAGGAGAGAAGAGAGGTGGCCAAGTTCAGCCATGACGTCGATGGAGGCCTGGATGATACGAACAGCTTGGTCAAGAACGCTCGTTTGGTCGCCGACGTAATCGGTGATGGGCAGCGGGATCCGCGACATGTGTGCTTGAAGGAGCAGGAAGGACTTGACATGGGGATCCCACATGGGGAGGCCGAAGCCGGTGGCGGGGAACGGGAGGGCTTTGGAGAGCTCGGCATTGATGAGATCCTCATTGTGGCGGACGGGCAGCTCATCGTACTCGGTGGCATGGGACATCCATGTCAAGGCATCGATGAAAGAAGCCCCAGCTTTGGCCTTCCGCGCCAGGTAGCGGATCGTTTTGTGCGACAGGTAGTAGTAACTCATGATCTTGCCGAGCGGCGTCGGGTCGACATCGCCGTTGGGATAGACCTCGACACACTTGGAGTCTGCGAGGGCCTTGAGCGATGCGTCGACCATTTCGATCATGAAGCCGTTGGCCGCCTGCTGTGCCGATGTGCTATTGCGCTCCTCGGCTGAGATCTCCAGGCCGTAATAGGACGGGTTTTTGTGCAGACGCCGGAAGAAGAATGTCCACGTCAGGTAGTCCAACGCGTCTTGCTTCGTGATGACCGTCTCGGCACAGATCTCGGCGCACAAGTGGTTGTCTAGAACAGTGTGCAGCGAGGACTCGACCGGAAAGCCCGTGTGCAGGAAGTGCTTGTAAAAGTCCTTTTTGGCGTCCTGGGTGAAGATACGTGCCACACCAGAGTTGTCGAACTGCGGCCGCCCGGCGCGTCCTAGCATCTGAAGCACGTCGGTGAGGTCCATGTCCTTGTAAGCCTCAATCTTGGCGTCGTAGAACTGGGTGCCCTTGACGACAACAAGGTGGGCTGGGAGGTTCACGCCCCAAGCAAGCGTACTCGTGGCAACCAGGATCTGGATCTTGTTGTTCAAGAACAGCTCCTCGGCCAGCTGTCTGTCAGACTCAACTAAACCGGCATGATGGAGGCCAATGCCGAAGCTGATGGCCTCCTTGAGCGCGTCGTCCTTAACACGGGCAAGATTCAGCTGGAGATCATCCTCGTCCATGTGCAGGAACCGCCTCGGGTTGTCCTCCATTCCGCACAGATTGATGAGATCCTTCGCCGTGAGTCGAGTTTGCCGGCGAGACGGCACAAAGACGATGACTGGCTTGTCGGGACTGTGGTTCAAGATGGCCAGGAAGGTCGGGCGGTTCATCGACTGCATAAGAGGGCAGAAGCCTCTTACCTCAGGGAAGCCGTCAATGTACAGCTCCAAAGGTACTGGTCTCACCGAGTGCCGGAAGTTGAAGAGTCCCTCTTTAACACCCAGCCAGTTGCCCAGGTCGTTAGCATTGGCGCAGGCCGTCGACATACCAAGTAGCCGCACTGCATTCTTGGTTGACTCTGCGATGTAGTTCATTCGCGACACGATAATCTCCAGAATAGGACCGCGGTCTCCAGCAAGAAGGTGAATCTCGTCAATGATGACCAGACTGACCTTTCTCACATAGCCTCTTGTCTGCCAGCTACGCGAGATACCGTCCCACTTTTCAGGCGTGGTGACGATGATATCTGCATTCTCAATAGTGCGTGTATCCGGAGTGTTATCACCCGTCAACTCGACCAGCTTGAGGCCCAGGGGACGGGCAAGGCGAGCACCCCAGTCCTTGACACGCTCCCGTACGAGGGCCTTCATTGGTGCAATGTAGACAACCTTGGACCCGGGCCGTTCACGGAAAGCCCACCACATGGCCAGTTCTGCAGCGACCGTCTTGCCACTTCCTGTCGGTGACCCAAGAAGCACGTTGACCGGTCTGTGATACAGAGTGTGGAAAACCTGCGTCTGCATGGGGTTGAAGAACTGGAAGCGCTGCGCATAAATCTCCTCCAGCGCCGCATTCTTGAGTGCCAAGATGGGGAGGGGCTGCAGGTTGAGCAAGTCCGTGTAGACACTCTCGGTGTCAGGTCGGATGAGATGCTGGAACGAGACCGCCGTCACCGTCTCTGCGCCAATCCATCTGTCTGAGACGGCACGGACGTAAATTTGCTTTGGGAGAGGATCCGACAGCGGAATGGTAAAGTTGAGTTCGTGATCATCGTGAAGCTTCCTCCGGCTCAGAAGGAAGAACTCGTGGTGGTAGATTTCGAAAGTCTCGGAGTTCTCAACCCAAATATAGTACGACTCGGATGTTCCGTGCAAGAAGTCGTTCCAGCGGAAGTCTGGTGTCACATGGAGCTTTATTCTCAGCACATCGCGATTCAAAGGTGCAATCTCGGCCTCGATACTGAGTGTTGGGAAGTTGTCCAGCAACTTGGCGATTTTGCCACCCATTCGAAAGTTGTTAACCAGATTTCCAATCTCGGCCGGCTCCATTTCCCGCATAGACTCGATGTTCAGAGAGTCTTTGGCGTCGAGGTTATTCAACACCGGCTTCGGAAGGTCGAACTGGTGGAAGGGGTGCTGGAACTCGGCCCAGATTCTCTTCTCAATGCTCTTCGCCAGCGTGAGCAGAACCCAACACTGATAGCCCCATCTCCGGTTAAGCGCAATCATGAAAAGCGCTCGGCAGATACGACCCGCTTGCTGAGCAACGTAGTTTAAGTCGTTTGTCAGCGCAAAGTCGTCAGGCTGTCCCCTGGAGATGTAAGACTGGAGGAGGATGTTGGTTTTGGCCTGCGGAGTGTCAACGCCCGCCTTGACCTCATAAGGAACAAAATTTTTGTTATTCCCCATGGCTGTCAATTCGTTGGCCTCGTTGTTTCTCGATTGGATATTATCGAACTCGCCGCTCATAGCGATCATCTTCAAAATATCCGTTTCCGTGGCCTCGGGGGTCATCATGGTGTTGAAGATCTGGATACTCGTGTACTGGATATAGTACTGACTGGCAATACGTCCGATATCCTTGCTGCGAAGCTCCTCGGTGGCCTCGTTGAAGATAATCATCTGACTCTGTTGAAGCGTCCTTGCAGCCTCGATGGCGAGTTTCCGGCGCCTTTGTACCAGTGACGGATCGTCGTTATACTCGGCCCAGTCGATGCCATACGCCATCGGATTTCTCTTCATGCGGACGTAGAGATACGAGTAGCTGATCCATTTGACGGCCTCGGGAATTGAAGTGACAGTCCCCAGCGCAATCTCAGCATTCAAATTGTCGACAAGCTTGGCCGAGAACCGCGATTCAATAGGCAACTGATCCGTGACTGCAGTGAGATAATGAGATAGCTTGTCCTGTGTCGTGCAAATCATGCCAATACCAACGTCCTCGAACTGGGGACGGCCGGCACGACCAAAAATCTGCAACACGTCGAGAATTCCCAGGTCGACAAATTTACCGTCCTGTGCGCTGTAGACCTGCGTGCCCTTGATGACAACGGCTGCGGCCGGCAAGTTGACACCCCACGCAAGAGTGGCGGTACAGCATAGGACCTTCAGGACACCCTCTCCGAACAGCCGCTCCATCAGATTTCGGTCTGACCGCGCCATGCCAGCGTGATGAATACCAATGCCCTTGGGCACAAGCTCACGGAGTTCTCTTCCCTTGGTTTGCTTGACGTCCTTCATGGCCGCCTCGTACTTTTCATGGTAAGTGGGATCAAACAGATCAACGCATGCCTGATCG